CGCCCGTCATGGCAACGTTGCGCGGCCCGCGGTCTGGTCTTGGGGCAGCACGCTGAATGCAAGGTACGCCACGATCTGCGCCCAGTCCGCGGTGGGAGCCGTGTCGCCCCGCGCGGAGACAGCCAAGCCGTCCTGGAGGGGCATGCCGATGTCCGCCACCCAGGCCGTGCGACTATATCGGCACTCTCGGTCATCAGTTTCTTATGCTTTTCCCCGGCGTGGTTGGACGTCGGCACGCTGAAGCCGAAGTCGCCGGCCGTGGCGGATGGCGGCGGCCACGTAAACACGCTCTGCCTGGCGAGCGGATAGCGCATCGCTCCGCCCCGCGGCGCAGGAGGCCAGGAACAACTTGGGACATTATGTGCCCAACCGGCCGCGGGGACCGTGCAGGTCGCGCGAAGACCGCCCAGGATACCGGCGGACCTCAGGCCAGCCAGAAGCGACAGGTAACAGGGTGGTTTGCCGGTGATGTTGGGCGCGATGTAGCCCGTGGTGGTCATGTTACTGTTACTGTTACTGTAGGGGTTCTCGCGCCCGTAGGCGGCCCCCGATAGCCTGGGGACCTCCAAAAAGCATCACTTCCCCCGGAGGGGGGGGGGCGACGAAGGACGGCGGGGCCCGGGACCCTGCGCCGGGGGGGAGAAGGGGGAGACGAGGGAGGAGGAGGAGGAGGAACGAGGAGGGCACAGGGGGAGCCAGGGACCCGCAATACCTCGGCGACCCCCCCCCAGGGAAGTGCGCGATGGACGCCCTGCCACCCGAACCAAAACTCCGAATAGGATCGTCCGATTGGAGGGGACGGGTGAAGGGGTGGGACCCGCCTGCCCCTGGCATCTCCCGGTGCGTACCTGATGGCCGAGGCAACAACGAGATCTTAGAATGCAGGGGGCGTCTGGGGGCTACTGGCTAGACCAACGATATCTTAGAATGCAGGGAGCCGCCCTGGCGCCCCATCTGCCTCACCAGACCACCCGCCTAGACGCCCCGCTGCCTCAACCACCCCGCGCTCCCAACCAACCACAACAACAACAACAACCGACACACACCCCGGCCGCGGCAGCGCCACCAGGGTTCAAGACCCCCGCCCTCTGGGGAACGGCGCAAGGCCGAACCCCGGTACATTGGGCGACCCGAAGGCGAAGGCGGTGCAATGCAGCCGATCTGGAGGAAACACCTAACGAACCTCATTCCATCCCCCTGATCCCCCCGTCCAATAACCCCCCGCCACCGCTTCTCACTCCCAATATTGTTCGGCAGGCGCCCCACGCACGAATCCAGGCTATCACCTTAGGACCAAACACAACCAGCCGGGCACAATCCCACACAACGCCACCGGGGGAGGTGGTCAAGCTTATCCCCGGTGTCCACTCCAGGAGCATGACCAAGGGAAGCACCCCGAGGGGCGCTAACCGCCCAAGGCCACGCTGCCCCAGAGCACGGTGTCCTCCCACCCCTGGACACGAGCACCAAGCGGCACCACGAAAAACACAAGCGAAAGGGAGACGCGGACCCTCCCAGGTGGGCGGGCCTGGAGAGGGTCTCGTCTGGGTTTGCCGGAGCGGCCCGCCGAATCCCCCAACCGGCACAACCGGACGAAAGCCCCCGACGCGACCCCCCGTTTCCCCTGGCCCGGCCGGGCGGCCTGGACACCTCTTGGGCCAATCGGGTACCCGAATCGAAGAAACACGACCTCAGCACACCACGCTCCTGTCCGACTCGGCGGTCTGTGGACGCGCCGGTCGAGATGGCGAGTCTCGACCCGGCGCCGCGGCCCCAGGAGCAGGGCGTGGGGTGGTAAACACAGTGGTGGCACGCCCAACTGGGGAGAGGCTTCCTTAGGCACGTACCTTAACAGACACATCCCTCTCACAGCCCTCCCCCTCCCCATTCCATCCCTTTCGAAGACCCGTTCCTAGTAACTCGAAGCAGACATCTATCTCGCTCTCCGCCGTGCCGCCACCCCCCGTGGTGGTCATAGTGCGCGGCCGTGTTTCAGCTCTGTCTGGCGCCTGCTGGCGAGGTCCTCCGCGCTACCGTCCGCGAAGGGCCCGATGGGTTCCCAAATATACGCGGGGCCCTGCCCGCCGGTGATGTCTGAGGTGACGCAGCTTATCGTCGTCAGCACGGACACACGACGTGACCCAGCTTTGTTTGGCGCCGGCTGGCGAAGTTCTCCGGAGCCACCATCCGCTGTGAGGCCAGCGGAATCCCAGCCAACGGGGCCCCGCATGCCCAGCTCGCTCCCGAGCGCGCGCAGCGGGGAGCCCGTGCAGCACGCCCAGTCGTCCCAGGCGGGGCCGGCCGTGCCGTCATGGAATTGAACATGACGTTGGTCACCAGTATGGCCAGACGACTGTTGGTGATTTCTGCCGCCAGCTTCTTCCGCTTGTCCTCGGCGCCGTTGGGCGCCAGCACGTGGAAGCTGAAACCATCCGCCGCGGCGGCAGCCGTGGGGAGCGCGCCACAGGCGCCGGCGCCACGCCAGCCGCCGCGGAGAGGGCAGCAGCCGCGGCCACCGCGCCAGCGGCGCCCGTAGCCGAGCCGGCAGCCGCCGAGGCCGCGGCGCCGGCCGCCGCGCGAGCGGCCGCGGCGGCGGGCGAGACGGCGGCGGCGGCCGCCACGGGAGCGCCAATTGGCCTGGCCCACGCTGGCCGCGGCAGCCGCCCGAGCGGCCGCCGCAGGGAGCGGGGGGCCGCAACCGCGAGGGAGCGCGCAGCAGCCAGACGGGCGGGCGGCCGCGGCGCGGGCCGAGTCGGCCGCCACGTGAGCGGCGCCGGCCAGCGGCTGGCGGGCAACCCCGCAGCCGAGCCAGGGGGGCCGCCGCGGGCGGCAGCCAGGGTAGCGGCGAGCCGCGCGGCCGCCGCCCGGCGCTGAGCGCGGCGCAACGCCGTCGATCCGCGGCTCGCCAGGAGACGGGGACATGGCACCAGGGGAGGGGCGCCGGGAAGAGGAGGCCCCTCCCAGCGTCCCTGAGGCCGGCCGAATCAAGGGGGAGACTACGGCCCCCAGGCCGCGCCGGCCAACCTCAAGCCAGAGCGCCTTGAGCCAGTGGGGGCTACGGAGCTCGTGGGAATACGCGAAGCTTCAAGACTTGCACATTGGAAACCATCAGGTGTTTCAAGCTGTTCGGCTTCTCGCGCCTCTTGGCTCGAGATGTTTCCAAGAGGGCTCGGAGGAGGCGAAGAGCCCAAACTAACCAATGTGATTTTCAGTAGAACTGCCAGACGGCCTGGGACCGCTCCAAGAAGGCTCCAAGATGACCCACCCAATCGAGCCCAGAGACAGCCCCAGGGGACTCCAAGATGGGGCCCACGAGAGCCCGACGAGCCCCCCAAGGCAGCCCCGACAGACCCCCCAGGCGGGCAAGACGGCCCAAGCCAGCACCAGGACGGCCCAAGAGGGTCCCAAAGAGGGCCCCGAGGCGGCTGCACAGGAGCCCAGGAGAGCCCCTGGAGAGCCCCCCCCCCAAGAATCGAAGGGCCCTCGGGGCGTCCGTTCCGTGAAGGGGTGCCAGGGCCAGAATCACCAGACAGGCCCACAAGGACAAGGACGGCCTCGTGAGAATCCCAGGAAGAAAAAGGAGGATAACGAGGGGCCGGGGGAGGATAACGGGGAAGGGAGGACGAGAGGGGGGGGGGGGAATGAGGACGGCGACGAGGATGAGGGACACCCCGAAACGACGCGGAAGAGCTGGTCGCGTGTTACGGATCCGGATCTCTGATGGCGAGGGACGAGAGGTGTCACATGTGATGGCCCTGCTCATCATTCGCACCCACCCCTGCCCCCTCCTCTACTTCCTGCTACTCCGCCCCCCTTCCCATTCCTCCTGTCCTCCTCGCTTCCCTCATCCCCCTCCTCCTATCGCCCTCCATTTCTTCCACGTCCTCCTGTGCTCCTCTTCCTTCTCATGCTCGCTCCCAGCGGGCCCTTGAGAGCCCAAAGAGCGACGCAGATCAGGAGGTGGAGCAAAGAGAAGATAGGGAGGACAGAATGGGACAGGCAGAAGCGGGCAATCGCGCAGAACGCAGACCACTTAGTGGCACAACCCTCGAGCCAGGATGGAGGTCCTGGCGCGCTCCTGGCCCAACGACTTGTGGCAGACGTTCAGGGGGCACTGGCGGGGAGAACGATAACATCCTCTTGCCTTGCTTCTGGCGACGGCTATCCCTGGCGGGCCTTACACCAAGCCGAAGCTTGTGAGGCAACTCATTGGATGCCTCCGTAAGAACGATTCGGCCAGATTCGGCCATTCTGCCAGATTCGGCCGGATTGAGCGGGGCATTCAGCCTTACCAGACGCGATGTATCAAACTTACACTGGATGATGCTGGTTTCGGCTGGTTTTCCTCCACGGAGAGACCAGCGCCGATGCTGAAGTGCACCTCCCGGGAGGTGCATCCTAACAGAGCCACCTCTGCGGCTCCCGGGCGCCCGGTGCCCCCCACACTCCTGCTCCGTCGCCTGCTGCCCGAGGGACGCCACGCCATGGCGGCGGGCAAGGCTGGCGTGGGCAGCGGAGCATGCACGTCCGCTGAGCAAAGGCTTGCTGGTGGCCAAACAAACTGCCCCTCCGATGCACTTCAAGTCGTCTGCCGACGGCGCGAGGAGGGCTGACTGCGTGGTGGGGCCAGTGATGTTGCTGATTGAGTTTGGATGCGCCAGCAGCCCTTCTTCACCATCATCAGGAGGAGGCTGTCCCCTGCCCGTCAACTCACCATGGTCTCAACTCCCCTGGGTGCCGTCGGTCCGCACGAGATTCGACTGCTCTGGTAGACACAGCCATGGCATACGAATCATTCACTTCCTGCTTCAGCGAGTGCCACGTCTATAACTCCCGAAATCATCTCCTCCTTGCTTCCGCAATACGCTCCCTGGCATCCCCTCTGCTTCTTCTCATATACGCCCTTCATCATGGGTCACTTCACTCTCTGGATGGCTTGGCAACTTCTGGTATGAATCCGCTCTCTTTGGCAAATGGCGGCATCCCTTATCCCAGCGCGCCGTTTCTTGATGCGCTCGGCATACTTCTCGCAGGTCAGCCGGGAGTGGTACGGCTGAGCGTTTTTTAACACAGGACCTCCATTACCCTGTCTGCCACGAGGTTAGACAGTGCTGCTCATCTGCCCTCCCAAGCGAAAGAAATTGTTTCGTTTGTGCATTCGCCAGAAATCATCTGGATAGAGTGGGCTCGCCAGGCACGCTCGCCAGGTGCCAAGCAAACCCGACCACGTGTATGATCATTCCAACCAGCTCGGCACGCGCTGGCCAAAGAGCGAGGCCTTCGTGGCAGGACTCGACCAAGGAGGACGGCGAATCACCCCGATGGAAGGCGAGGGTGTTCGTGTGTTGTTGTGTTTGTGTGTTTGTGCGTTCGTGTGTTTGTGTGTTTGTGTGTTCGTGTGTTCGTGTGTTTGTGTGCTTGTGTGGTTGTGTGTGTGTGTGTGCTTGTGTGTTCGTGTGTTTGTGCGTTTGTGTGTTTGTGTGTTTGTGTGTTCGTGTGGTTGTGTGGTTGTGTGGTTGTGTGGTTGTGTGTTTGTGTGTGTGTGTGTGTTTGTGTGTGTGTTTGTGTTTGTGTGTGGGCGCGCGTGTGTGTGTGTGTGTGTGTGTGTGTGGGGGGGGGGGGGAGGGCAGGTCCTCTCGGAAGGGCGGCGGGGCTTCCCCAGAGGCCCCCAGGCCTTCCGAGGAGCCGCCCGCCTGGGCGCCCGAAATGTCACTCTGCACGGACCTTGCAGACGTGCTGCAGCGGACTTTTGCGTGGATTCCTGTCAGCTCAAAACCCTGAATTGGCGAGCGAAAAACGAAGTGAATGTCACGTGGAGTTCTTGTAATCTTCGTTCCTGAAGTCCTGAACGAAATTCTTCAGGACAGTCCGGGCCCATCCCATTGTGTACCAAACGAGATCCACTCTGCGATGTTGGCGCCATGAGATATGGGTTCCTCATCTCCTCGCCCAAGCAAAGACGGCATAAGCATTAACGTTTGGAGGTCCGTGTCGATTTCTTGGATCGGCGATCGACACCCCTCCAGTCAGGAGGACCTCCAGAAGCTCATGCTTCATCTGCCGCGTGCCGCTCAGCCTTCTCTTCGGCCTATCTGCTGGAGCGCCCTGGCGCGTCCGCGGACCTCCAGAAGTTTATGCCTTGTACTCCACGTGCTGTTTTCCCGGCACACACACACACACCCTAGCGGCTTGTGCGCAGGGGTTGTACCCCTAATAACTATTCTACATTGCCCGGTGCGTGATGCCGGACCGACGGAAAATTCGGTGGCCGATCATGACCACCCATAGTGGCCCCCCTCGTGAACTGTGCGCTAAAGCTTCGAGTAATTGGGGCATCGGCTGCAGAGTTGACCTACGCACCCCGACATAGATTTTCCAGTCGACTCCATGAAGCATGCTACGTCTTCCTTTTAGATACGACGAGGAGGCCAGTTCTGGGATAACTCAATTCTGCAGTCGACCCCCTACTCGAAAGCTGTTCGAGATGTTCTGTAGCAAGCAAGGATGTCATTTCTTCCTCGGCTGTTCTGCCGGAGCGCCCTGGCGTCAGGAGGAGACCTCCGCAGCCCGCAGAGAGAAATAAAAAACAGGGGAGGGATGACTGGCAAGGGGCGGAAGCATCGACCTGGAATCGGCAGTACATCGCCAATAGATCCGCGATCGGCCCCCGATAGCGAATCCGCAGCTTCCTGGGCGGGGTTGGGCCATCAGAGCCCTATATACGTGATCCATGGGCGAGTGGAAGTGGAAGCGTACCCCCCGCCTCAGACCCCCGACGTCATGTTTTTTCGTCTGTGTCCAAACGTCGACGCCGAGAGGTCTCGACCCATTCCCCAGGACCAAATGTTCATCCTGAATCGTTTTTTGACGGCCCCGAGGCCTGGACCCCCCCGCCCCATGGAGGCCGAACATAGCGAACAACCTTGCGCCTCGAGTTTCGTACTGGCTCGAGGGCGTCTGGGGGACTTGGACGCACGGGATGGGCACGGAAGAATGGGCACTATGCCCAACAACAAATGTTGTCCAAAACCGACAGCGGCAGCTGTTGGGCAGGCGCCCTTCTGTCCCAGATGGACGACGTCCGCGGCGGCACCGACAGCGAATCCTGTTCGAAATGAAAGGGAACTGCGGTCGGTCCTCCTGCCAACTCTTGCTGTGCCCGTTCCGTGGTGAAGACACCCTCGCAGCCCGCAAGGGGCGGGGGGGGGGGCGCGAATGATGGGGGGACGATACGTGGGGAGGGAAGAAAGGTACCCTTCTCGGGCGCCAGAGGCCCTCCCCATTCTGGGCCCGAAAGCACCCCTCCAGGGGCCCTGAAGGGCCCCTTCCTGCAGCACTCGCTGCCCCGCCCTTCACTGCCCCACCCCCCTGATGCGCCCCCCTCGGCAACACACAGGAGCGGCCCTGGGTAAGAGTGGCCTTCGGTGCGCGGCTTCTTGGGCTCCGAAGGGGGGGCCCAACACCAGCGCGCAGGACGCAACGATCGCATCGCGCTTGGCGATCGGAGGGGCCCCGATGAGCCCGCGCCACAGGTCACTCTGGCGAAGGATCACTTTTGCGTCTGTGCGCCCCTAGAGGCCTCCTAGATGGGGTCGGAGTAGATGGGGTCGGAGGATCTCGCCACACCGTCGATACATCGGCGATGCATCGGCGATGCATCGGCGATGCATCGGCGACATCGGCGATGCATCGACGACGTCGACGTGAAGCAAATCGGGCTGCACATCGAGCCGCATCGGCAATGTATTGGCGATGCGGCGCGGTCCTCCGACCCCATCTACTCCGGCCCCATCTAAGAGGCCTAGGGCCCCCCAACGGGGGGAGGGGGGGCGGGGCAGGCCGCCGGAGCCCTGGCCTGGGCCCCGCAGCGCAGGCACGACGTCTTGCGGCAGAGAGGGCACCTCGCGGCGAGGGGCGCGCCCACGGGCCGCGGCTGCCGGGCCGCGGCTGCCAAGCCTCTGGCTCCTCCTCCTCGTCCTCCTCCCCGCCCAGCGTCCTCATCCTGCTCCTGCCCCCTCCTCCTCGTCCCACGTCCCACGTCCCACGTCCCACGTCCCACGTCCCACGTCCTCCTCCTCCTCCTCCTCCTCCTCCTCCTCCTCCTCCTTATCCGCCTCCTCCGCCTCCGCCTCCTCCCTCCCGCAGCGCCGGGGGTCCCGAATCCGAGAGGGCCCCCAGGGCCAGGCGGGCGGCGCACGCCCGCGCCCGCGCTCGCCCGCGCCCACGCTCGCCCGCGCGCGCGGCCGCCGCGGCCGAGCCAGGCGGCGGCGGGGCCGGCGGCGAGGCAGGCGGCGGGGCCGGCGGCGGGGCCGGCGGCGCCGGGGGCGGCGGCGCGCGGTGCGGGCAGCTCCTCGGCCTCTGGCTCCTCCCCGCCCACTGCCTCCGCTTCTTCCTCCTCCTCCTCCTCCTCCTCCTCCTCCTCAACCTCCGAGCGCCGTGCTTCTACGGTTCGAGCCCCCCTTATCCTTGTCCACCTCCTCCTGCCCCCTCCTGCTCCCGCAACCCTTCCCGCATTTAGCGTTTTTTTGTTGTGTGTGCTTGCTTTTGGCCGCCACTTGTCGTTTTGATAGGTTTTCCACCAGCCGCGGCTTGCTTCTCTTCCTTTTTCTCCTCAAGGGGGGGGGGGAGAGGAGCAGGAAAGGGGGGAGGGGAAAAAGGGTAATGATGGCGGTGATGACGGTAAGCCTTCGCCAGTTGCCCCAAACGCATCAAACATCCAAAGAGGTCCACCGCCGACCCGAGGACTCCGCGCGGATCTCCGAGAGCTCAGATGCCTCGATCTTACCGCCCGCCTCCTCCTCCTCCTCCTCCTCCTCCTCCTCCTCCACTTCTCCCTCTCTCCTCCTCCTCCTCCTCCTCCTCCTCCTCCTCCTCCACTCCCCTCCTCCTCCCCTCCTCCTGCTCCTGCTCCCTCCTCCTCCTCCTCCTTTTGCTCCTCCCTCCTCCCCTCCTCCTCCTCCTCCCCCTCCTCCTCCTCCTCCTCCTCCTCCTCCTCCTCCTCCTCCTCCTCCTCCGGCGTCCTCCTCCCCCCCCTGCCCCCATTCCCCTTCTCCCTGTCTTGCCGCTGGTGGCGCGCAGCTGCACGCGGGTTCGCCAGGCCGGGGCGCGCCCCCGCGCCTGGCCGCTTCGCCGGGCCGGCACGGGGGCGCCAGCCGCCTTGAGGGCCTCTGGGCCCCCAACCGCCTCGAGGGCTTGTGGGCCTGTGGCCCCGCATGCTCGTCCATCGGCGGCGAGCGAGGGGGGCAAATGAGACGGAGAAGACCTTCTCAGGGGGCGCCAACCGCCTTGGGGGCCTCTGGGCCCCCAACCGCCTCGAGGGCTTGTGGGCCTGTGCCCCCTCATGCTCGTCCATCGGCGGCGAGCGAGGGGGGCAGATGAGGCGGAGAAGACCTTCTCAGAAGGCGGCGGGACGTCTCAGATGCCCTCTGCCTTCAGGGAGGCCTAGAAGACTTCTCAGGTGGCTGGGGGGCTTCCGGACCTTCTGAGGAGGATCTGTCTTTTTCGCATCCCCCCTCGCTCGCCGCCAAGTCCAACGTCTGTTTTTCCCCCCTGTCCCTCAGTGGGTCCTCCTCCTCCTCCTCCTCCTCCTCCTCCTCCTCCTTGATTTGGTACACGACTCGAGAGGGTGTGGGCACATGGCTGGAATATGGCCTGGTCTCGCGTGCCCGGGCCAAATCCTGCAGGTGCGCTCCATGGCAGGAGAGCCCAGAAAATCGAATCTGCAATTAAGTCGGGCCTGTCCCCCTACAGGGGGGTTGTCGACGAAACATAAAAGATACCCCCCAAAAAATACCCCAAAAAGGCCAAACAATACCCAAAACATAGTCCCCATACAATTTTTGGAATAGTTTTTGACTATGTTTGGGGTATTTGTTTATTCTTCGTCGAAAATCCCCCTGTAGGGGGACAGGCCCGACTTGAATCTACAAGTCGGATCGGCGACCGAAATGAACCGGATCGGCGGAAATCGGCAGCCGAATCGAGAGACCTGCGTCAGCAGGAACGGCCAGCAGAACCGGCAGAAATATCGGCAGGTCCACCTGGGGAAATCGGAATCCAGATCGGAACCCGAAGTCGACTCGAAGCCAGATCGGAAGCCATCGAATCGGACCCGAATCCGGAAACGCATCGAACTCGGGTCGGGCGAAAGGGTGGGATAGCAAAGGGGGGGTTTGAGAATCAGCTCACGTAGCTGATTTTCCCGGCGCCTCCCGGCGCCGGAGGCGGCCATGTATATCGAGGAATGGGCCCCGTGAGGCCGAAAACAGCTGCATGCAGCAAATTTCGTAACCCGTCCTTTCCCAATCCCCCCCCCTTTCGCCCGGCCCGACGAGCCCGCGGTCGAATCGAACCGCATCGAGCCGCGAGGCATCGCCGCGAGCCCTGCGCCGGCCGGGACTCTTCGAGGGGAGCCCCGGGCGCGCGCGGCGGAGAGAGGCCCGCGCCCCCTCCGCGGGCGCCCCCCGCGGTACGCGACGCGCCCCCTCGGAAGCAAGCGCGAGGTTTTTCACGGTGGCCGGCGCGCGAAGCGCGGCCCACGGGGTCCGATGCTCGTGTCTGCAGTCGCCAACTCCGGCGCGAGCGTGGACATATTGGGGTCCTGGGGCGCCGCCACGTGGCGGGAAGACCGTGTGCTTCATCTCGAGGAAAGAGAACTGTGCACATGCACCGATTCTGGCCAGGCCCATCCTGAGCCCAGGATCGGTGCATGCGCCCTCTTTACCGTGGCCAGGAATGTATGTGCACCGATCCTGGGTCAAGGATGGACGTTGTAAGGATCGGTGCATGTGCATAGTTCTCTTCGCCCGAGTGTCTGCAGTCGCCAACTCCGGCGCGAACGTGGAAATGTTGAGGTCCTGGGGCGCCGCCACGTGGCGGGAAGAACGTGCGCTTGATCTCGAGGGGAGTGCAAGGAACCCACAAAAAGATGGCACACGGCAGTCGGAAGCGGTTTAGGTACAGATATGGCGCACGAGCGCATACAAAGCAGATTGGGCCGAGGCCCTCCCAGAGAAAAACCAGGCACAGCAGACGCTCATCGGCTCTTGAAGCGGGAAGGCCCCGGGGAGTCCCAAACTATACCTACCTTCAACGACCGGCGTGCACGCGCCCAGCCGCGTGCACGAACACAGCCCCCCTCAGTCCGCAACGCGCGCGCAGTGTGGGAGGCCTGGACATTGGCACCAACACCAGCACAGGGGTTTGCCTCCACATGGGGAAGATGATCCTCGATTTCGGTGTTGGTGGTAATATTTCGGTCACCTTGGAAGCCAGAATATTACCACCAGCACTGAGATCCGGATCGTCTTCCCTCGGTGGATGCACACCGCCGATCTTGGTGTTGGTGTCAACCTCTAGGCCTGCGACAGTACGGGGGGAGGGAGGGAGCAGGGAGAGGGGGGTGGCAGGCCTCCTCAGCAGGGCGACGGGGCCTCCCAGGGGCCCTCTGGCCTCCAGAGAGGCCGTCTGCGTCTCGCGGGGGGGAGGCGCAGAGGACGCTGCTCCGGAGGCCGGAGGGCTCCTGGGCCTCCCGGCAGGCCCGCCCCTCCTCGCCTCGGCTGCCCCGATACGCCGCACGCGGCACGTGGCGTGTCGGCACGGGGCTCAACACGCAGACTGAAACCGCAGGCCTGGCGCGGTGCACTCGCCAAAAAAAAACGTGGACCAGCACGTGCCGAGCCCACACGCGGCGTGCCAACACAGACGTCTTGAACACCGGGCGCAGCAGGGCAGCTAAGCTCCTCACTACCCCCCCAGGCTCGCCGCCGAATCCTTTGACGCGGTGATCTTTGCCATCCGCGGCCCCGGGGGGCTCCCGACCCCTTCCCCAGGGGCAGCTTCCGCCCCGCATCCGTGCCCGATGGCCCCAGGGCCCGATCACGGGCCTCTGCGGGGCGGGGATCGGGGGAAGGCGCCGCGATTGACAAACATCACAACGTCCGAATCCTGGGACCGTCGATGCTGGATCTCCGATCCCAGGCCTGGCTCCCAGGACTTCCCGGGCGGCCCCCGCGGCCTCCAGAGCCACCCGCACGAGGCCCAGAGGGCCCCAGGAGCGCCGAAATGGAGCGAAAAGTCGAGGGCATCTTGGGCCAGGGGCACCTCTGGCGACCCCCGAGAGGAGGAGGAGGAGGAGGAGGAGGAGGAGGAGGAGGAGGAGGAGGAGGAGGAGGAGGAGGGAGGAGGGAGAGGAGGTAGGAGGAGGAGGAAGGAGCAGAAAGAGGAGAGAGGAGAAGAGGGGAGAGGAGGAGGAGGAGAGCCCGGAGGAGGAGAGGGAGGAGGAGGGAGGAGGAGGAGGAGGAGGAGGAGGAGGAGGGGCACCCCTGGCAACCCCCGACCGCAGAGTGCGCAGAGGCACGCTGCCGGAGCGACGGGCGGCGGGCGGCGGCCAGCGGGCGGCGCCTGAGGCGCGGCGGTCCGCCCTCCTCCAGCGCCACGCGCATGGGGCAGTCCGGGGTGGGGCACGCGCGCAGGTCCGCGGCCGAGGACACGGCCTGCTCCAGACCTTCGGGGGGGGGGCAGGGGCAGACACCCTCGAGTCACGAAGCAGTCCACGGCGCGAGGTGCTTCGCGCCGCTTCCGGCCTCCGGGGGACCTCGCCAGTCCTCGGGACCGTTGGCCCACGACTCTGGATGGAACCCCGGCCCCAGGGAATCGGTGGAGAGCTCTGGGGGTCCGAAGATGTGGAAGAATCATGGCAACAGGGTCTGGGCCTGATGCTGTTAGAGAACGGCGTCATGCTCACCATTCTGCAGGCGGCTCAGAAGTGCCGCCGCGCTACAGCAAGGAGGGAGCGAAACGAAAGTGTCCCCTGCAACAGGGCTACTGTTTCGCGGCCTCGGTGAGCTGCGTCGCGCCGCGTGGGAATGTCTCGTGTGTACGTCTGCACTTATGTACGTGTGTATGTATGTTTGCATGCTTGTATACACGCGCTTTTCCCTCGATTCAACCATATATGTATACATGTCTACACATTTATAGATGTACATAAGTATGCATATGTATATCTATGGGCGATTTCGGAAACCCTGAACCCAGAAACGCTTTCATCTCTTGAGGACAAAATATTTCACTTCCGCCGGCTTCCCTTTCGCCGGCTTCCGCCAGCTTCCGCCGGCGGAAGCGGCCTAGTTTCACTTCCGCCGCCCTTCCACCGCCCTTCCGCCGAGGAAGACATGACAAATCCTTCGATCCTCGAGGGCAAAGCCCTATTTGGAATGCCCATGTACATGCATATACACACTGCACACGCTCTTCCCGCCCCATCCCGCTCTTCTCCGAGGCCGCCCACGGCGACGGGCAGGCCGCCAGCAGCCTGGAAGGGCGCAACACCAACGCACCAACGACATTCCCTGAGATCCTGGCGTTGCATTGTTTTCACAACGGGCGTTTTCGCCTTGATTCGGGCCTGGGGACCCTCGCAGACCGATCCGCCTCGAAAAATGACCCAGAAAGATGAGGTCGGGGGCTCTGGTTGCGATCTTGTGCGATGCTGCAATTTTTCTGCAACGTCAGATCTCAGGGTGACAACCGAGCGGATCGAACCGGGTGAACGCATCCCACTGCGTCGCGGCCGAACCGAGCGAATCGCGGACACCCGTCCTCCCACCCTTCTCCTCTCCTCCGCCTCTTCATCTCCCCTTCTTCCTTCTTCCTAACGGCACCGAAGCACGAACGCTAAAGAGATGCAACACATTAAACATAGGAGGAGGGGTGGAAGAGGATGAGGAGGATGAGGAGGAGGAACGCCCGTGGCTCCAAGGGATCAGCTCGCCTAGGCGCACCGGGGGGCGACTGGCACCTCAGCGTCGGCGAGTGTGGAAGTTGTGCTTCGGACGGTCTGGAGGAGACCGCCCCTCAGGAAGGAGGAAGAAGAGGAAATGGCGCGCCCAGGCGGAGCTCGGCGCGAGACGCCCGTCACACCTGGGCCATGTCCTCAGTCAGTGCGCCTGCTTGCACGGGAAGCGGGGAGGAGGAGGATGAGGAGGAGGAGGAGGAGGAGGAGGAGGAGGAAGAGCAGCAGCAGCAGCAGCAGCAGCAGCAGCGAAACCGTCCTCGTGTTCTCCTCCTCCTCTTCCTCCTCCTCCTGCTCCTCTTACCTTCCCCCTCCCTTTCCTCCTCCTCCTTCTCCTCCTCCTCCTCCTCCTCCTCCTCCTCTTCCCCTTCGCCTGTCCCCCGCGTGCCCTCCCCCCAAAACCCTGTCCCCCTCCCGCTGCGGAGACGAGCTGCTCAGAGACGGGCTGGTGGGGATGAGCAGGAGGCGGACAGCGATGGCGGGCAAGAGGAAGAGGAGGAGGAGGAGGAGGAGGAGGAGGAGGAGGAGGAGGAGGAGGGAGGGAGGAGAAGGCAGAAGACGAAGGCCAGATGCGGGATCCAGCCCCCGCACTCGGGGCACTGCTTCCGCGGGGCTGGCCTCAGCCCGCTGGCTGCCACCGCTCAACGGCGGCACGGCGGGCGACATCAGCCAGGAGTACGAGGACATCGAGGTGCTCCAGCTACGGAACCTGCAGGTACATGGACGTGACGAGCCCGACGGGGCCTAGGCCGCTGCGAGCTGCGGCGCGCAGGAGCAAATGGAGTGCCCTGTCACTCTTGGCCGCCGCCATGACGAACGTGCGAGCTGATGGCGAGCAGACGTACGTGCCGAAGTACGACCAGTGCAAAAGCATGTACGATACGTACAACACCAAGTACGACACCACGGACGACAAGGCCGAGCAGCCCGAGGGGTGGCCAGGTACATTGTCGTGGAGATGCCGGTGGACCACGGCTACGCCGCCCACGACGAAGACGACTACGACGCCTACAACGACTACGACGAACACAATGGCTACGACGACTGCGCCGCGTACGGCTTCCTCACCCTGCCGCCAACCGTGCCCGCAGAGTTTCGAGGGCCACCAGGGGAGCTTCGAGGGCCACAGCAAAGCTACGACGGAATGGCGGAGAGCTGTGACGGCGCGACGGCAAGAAGCAGGACTTCGAATACCACTCGCACAGCCACCAGGGCCACCAGTAAAACTTCGAGACTGGCTAGCTGAGCTACGAGGGCCACCAGCAGAGCTACAACGGCAAGAAGCAAAGCTGCAGCTTCGAGAGCCACTGGCTGAGCCTCGAGGGCCAACAGCAGAGCTTCGACGGCAAGAAGCAGAGTTTCGAGAGCCACCAGCTCTGCTTCGAGGGCCACCAGCAGAGCTACGACGGCAAGAGGCAGAGTCTCGAGGGTTATTGGATGAGCTTCAGGAGCTACCAGTTGAGCTTCGAGAAACAACCAGCTGAGCTACTGGGGCGACGCAGAGCTACGACGGCAAGAACCTGAGCCCCGAGAGGCACCAGCAAAGCTACGCGAGCCAGCAGCGCGGAGCATCGAGAGCCGGCAGCCGAGCTACGAGGGCTACCACGAGAGCTGTGAAAGGGCAAGCCGTGGAGCCTCGAGAACTACCGGCAGCGCTACGGGGAGCATCCGCAGAGCTCCGAGGGCCACCGGCGGTGCTGCGAGACCCACCAGCCGAGCTCCGAGGGCGACCAGCAGCATTTCTGAGGGCACCCAGAGTGGCTCTGAGGGCGACAGGCAGAGCTTGGAGAGCCACTCGAACAACTACGAGAGCCACTGGCAGGGCCACCGGCAGAGCCTCGAGAGCCACCAGCAAAGCCTCGGGGGCCACCAGCAGAGCTGCATGGGCGACCCGCAGACCCACGACGGCGACCCCGAGGAACTCCGAGAGCTGCCGGCAGAGCTTCGAGGGCCGCCCACCCCACCACACTACGAGGGCCACAAGCAGAGCTTCGAGGGCCACCAGCTGAACTACGAGAGTCACAAGCAGAGCTTCGAGGGCCACCAGCCGAGCCACGACAGCCACAGGGGGAGCTCCGAGAGCCACCATCTAAGCTACACGGGCGACCAGCGGAACCGCAAGGGCCACGCGCTGAGCTACGAGGACCACCGGCTGAGCTCGGAAAGCCATCAGAGGAGCTACGAGATCCAGCTGAGCCGCGAGGGCAAGAAGCAAAGCTACTCGGACCACACCCCGGAGGCACGACGGCCACAAGCAGAGGTTCCAGGCCCACCAGCAGAGCCTTACGGGCAAACGGAAGGGCAATCAACAGAGCTAGGAGGACTTCCCGCATAGCTACGACGGCCACGGGCAGAACCGGGAGGGCAACCAGTGCGGCTTGTCGGACTCCGCGCGAAGCCAAGCCTAAACGGCAAAGAGGAGGCGCCAGGCCCCTACGACGCGGACGCTGCTCAATAGGTTTTCCAAGGAGGATCTACCGACATTCGCGTCAAGGCGAGCAACATTGAGATGGTTGGCGAGCGCCCTAAGAAGTAGATCGCATTCGAGTTCCAGGCCGAATGCCGCGCCATCCAGTACGGCGACATGCTGTTCAATGATTTCGTTTTCGAAAAGATGTCAGGTCTGGCAGCCGCCGAGGGGCAGCCTGGCGTCGCTGTCTTCTTCGAGCTACTGTTCGACGACGAAGCGACCTTCGACAAGTGCTGCGAACAGATGACACCAACGACTACGGCGAGACGGGCCTATCCGAAGGTGCAGACTACCTCTAGAAATATACTCGCCTTAACGCAATGTGCCACAGCTGCATAGATTCCCGATTCCGTCGACATCGCTGCAGGCAATGGCATTACATGTACAGTTGCGTCTTCGGCATTTACGCTGTAACTTCTTCTTCTCTTCCCCCTCTGCGCCCTGAGCCTCGGGACGAAAGACGGACACGTGGCCTCCCTGCCCCGCCCCCCCGTTCAACGGAAAGAAGGTCCCCCGGTGGTCCCGGGAGGGGCCCCGCGCACCCTGCACGCGGCGCGCCCGTCGGCGCGCGCGCGGCGGCGCGCAGCTGGGAACGCGCGGAGGCACGCTGCGGCGGGGGGGGAGGCGGTGGACGACGACGACGAAGACAAGGGCAAGAGGCGGAGAAAGAAAGAGAGGATGAGGATGAGGAGGAGGAAGAGGGGGGGGGAATGAGGAGGAGGAGGAGAAGGAGGAGGAGGAAGAGGAGGAGGAGGAGGATAAGGAGGAGAAGAAGGACGAGGTGAAAGCAGAAATAGAGCTGGAATGACAAGAGGGGGGAGGAGGAGGAGGAAGAGGAGGAGGAGGAGGAGGAGGACGAGGAGGAGCAGAAGGAGAAGAGGCAGGCAGGCAGAGCACAGAGGGGCGGGCAGGCAGGAAGAGGCGAGAAGGGAGAAAAAAAGGGAGGAAGAGGAGAAGGAGGAGGAGGAGGAGGAGGAGGAGGAGGAGGAGGAGGAGGAGGATGGAGGAGGAGGAGGAGGAGGAGGAGGAGGAGGAGGAGGAGGAGGGACAACGACATCGACAGCGATAACCTCGAGGGGAGCAGAAAAAGGGCAAGCACGAGGACGAGGAGGACGTAGAGGGCGGGGAGAGAGGGAGGGAAGAGGGACGTGGGGCCAAAGGGGGGTACAGTGATAAGGAGGAGGGAGAAGGGGGAGGGGATGAGGGGTGACCGCGAGGAACAGATCCTGCCGACGGGGGGCGGCGCAGCAGGAGCAGGAGAGGGAGGAAGCAGGAGACAGGGAGGAGGAGGAGGAGGAGGAGGAGGAGGAGGAGGAGGAGACACGCCGCGCACGCCGGCCTGAACAGGCGCCACCAGCTGCAAGTGTTGGGGAGCGCCGCCGGCTCGAAAACAGAAGTTTGGTGGATCAGAACCGGCGGAGCGACACGCTAAGTAAACATTCCCAACCGTACACAAGCGGAGGGCAGTCCTTTTGAGAATGGGGCTCTCGCCTGATCTGCCCTCGCTCTCTATTGCGAGAAGCACCAGATTGTGCGACAGACCGACGGATGGAGGGCAGATGGTTGTGAAAGCGGACTCCCACTTGACACATGATAGTCGATTAGTAATCCTACTTCGTTTAAAGCGAGACAGAACGGGAATTTCGCTTGAATTGCAAGCCCATGGGGCTCTCGTCTTTTAAGGGGGGCGCCCCCCCATGAAAAGGCATACCTGCAGGGAGTTGTGACTTCATAAGGAATTTGGACGGAAAGGTGTTTTCCAGCATAGTCGAGGCAATAAAAGGCTTACTCTCCTTCTCCTCCTCCTCCTCTTCCTCCTCCTCCTTCTCTGTCCCTCCTCCCTCCTTTCCTCCCTCCGCCCAGCCTCTGTATCAGTTTCTCTTTGTTTCTCTCTCTCTCTCTCTGTCTGTTGGATCATAGCACGTGTCCGTAAGCCAGGCCAGTCGTCTCGCACTAGACTCGCTCACAGCTCGTACCTTGCAGCTGAGAGGCCCGATTGGTAGACCTTCGCGCAGTGCGCGCTCGTCTTGCATGCTGCCAGCGACTGAAAGGACAGAGGGCCCATGCGTTTCCAAAGTGTGACTCTCGCTTTAGCGCCGCGGACGTTCTGGTTCACAGTCTCCGACAGCTACAACGATTGAGGCTGGCACGTTCTCACAGTCACACTGCGGCGATCGCCCTGGTGCCGCGCACAGTCCTCCCCCCCCCTCCTGCTCCTCCTCCATCCTCCTCCTCCTCCCCTCCTCCTCCTCCTCCTTCTCCTCCTCCTCCTCGGCATCATCATCATCATCATCATCATCATCATCATCATCATCATCATCATCAGCAGCAGCAGCAGCAGCATACTCACCATCATCGTCATCAAAAAACAGCATCAGGCTCAGCATCACCAGCATCATGATGATCAGCATCGTCATCATCGTCACCAACTTCATCATCATCATCAGCAGCATTTTCAGCAGCAGCAGTATCTTCATCATCATCATCATCATCATCATCATCATCATCATCAGCATCATCATCATCATCATCATCAACATCACCTTCATCAGCTTCATCCTCATCAGCATCGTCATCGTTATCGTCGTCGTCATCATCACTATCATCACCACCATCATCACCATCATCATCAGCGTCATCACGGTTATCATAATGATCGTCATCATTGCCATCATCATCTTCATCAGCATCATCATCAATATCATCACCACCATCATCACAAGAACACTAGCAATAATGATAATCGGCATCGTCGTCATCATCATCCGCACAGTGATCATCACCGCCAACAAACATCAACGTCAGCATCATCGCCATCCTCGGCATCATCATCAACACCAGTATCATCAGCATCATCAGCATCATCATCCTCATCATCACCCTCATCGTTATCCTCCTCACCATCGTCACCATCAGAATCACCATCATCATGAGATTCACCATAATCGTCATCAGCATCATCATCACAATCATCAGCATCATCATCAGCATGGTCATCATCCTCATCGTCATCATCAGCCTCATCGTCAACAACATCATCATCACCATCACCACCACCATCACCACCACCATCATCATGATGATCATCATCACCATCATCATCATTAGCATCGTGATCACCATAATTGCCATCATCATCAATATCGTCATCACCGCCATCATCATCATCACCACCATCACTATCATCATCATCCTCATCATCATCAGAACAGTCACCAGTACCATCACTCCCATCATTATCAATATCGTCATCACCGCCAGTATCATCATCATCATCATCATCATCATCATCATCACAATCATCACCATCATCATCATCATCATCATCATCATCATCATCATCATCATCATCATCATCATCATTACCACCATCAACACCATTATCATCATCTCCACCTACGGTCGGAAACTCTTGCTTAGCGTGTCGCGGCGGCGGCGGCCCCGGCGACACGCTATACCTTGCAAGCGGATGGCGTGTCGCTCCGATCCGCACGGCAGGAGGCTGAACAGCTCGGGCCCTCGGCGCTTGGGAATGGGGACGTGGATAGCGTGTCGCGCCGAAGCGCAGTGGGCCAGAGCCGGCGGAGTGACACGATAAGCCCTCCTCCTTCCGATCCCCCTCCTGCCGCCCATGCTCCTCCTCCTGCTCCTCCTCCCCCCCCAGTCATGCCCCCAGGGCCTCGCTGGAGGAGGCGCTCCATGATTGCGGCGGGCAAGATCTGCTTCAGGACGTGCTGGCGGGAACCGCGTGCCCGTGCGCCCCCTTTACCCACGTTCCTCCTCCTGCTCCTCCTTCTCCTCCTTCTCTTCCTCGTCCACCTCCTCCCCCTCCTCCTCATCACCATCGTCACAACCATCAACACCATGATCAACATCATCACCATTGTCATCACCATCCTCACCATCACCATCATTCCCGTCATCCTCATACTCATCCTAATCACCACCATCATCACCATCAAAATACGAATCAGCACCCGCATCATCAATACCACCAGCAACCGCAACAGCGTCACCGGTATCATCAATCTTGACAGGATGTTTCAGAATCACAATCAGCATCCTAAGCATTGTCATCCTCATCCTCACCCTCACCCTCATCATCACTTCATCCTCATCCTCAGCACAATCATTACCAGGATCAGCATTGTCATCCTCACCCTCACCCTCATCCCCGTCGACATCTCATCATCACCCCTCCTCCGTCGATCCTCCGAGGGCGGGCCGCACTCACCACTGGCCAGAGCTCCTGCTGCCGATCCTCTGCCGCAGCTCCCGCTCCCCATCCTCTCCCTCCCAGCCACCTCCACCTCCTGATCCTGCTGCTCCTCTCAGCGTACCCCTGCCCTTCCTCGCCCTGCCCCCCCTCCCCCTCCACATCCATGTCCTCCTCCTCCCCCTCCCCCTCCTGATCCTCATCCTCATTAGCCTGCTTATCATCATCATCATCATCATCATCATCATCATCATCATCATCATCATCATCATCATCAGCATCATCAGCATTATCATCATCACCATCCTCATCGTCATCCTCAGCGTTCATCATCTCCGCCACCCCCACCCCCACCACCACCAGCAGCATCAGCATCATCATCATCATCGGCATCGGCAGCGGCAGCGGCATCGGCATCATCCTCATCATCATCCCCATCCTCATCCTCATCATCATCCTCATCCTCATCCTCCTCATCATAATCGCCATCACACCCCACCGGCATTTCCATGCCCGTCATCGACATCAGCAGTATCGCAGTCACCACCACCAGCATCAACATCAACAGCATCTACATCACCATCATCGTCGTCTCCGACATGATCCTCAAACTTTCCACCATCGGTGTCGTCATAACCAGCAGCATCGCCATCAGCAGTACCAGTGTACTCATTAGTATTAACAGCAGCATCAGCAGCATCATCATCTTCAGCAGCAGCACTATCACCATCATCGTCATCAGCATCGTCATCATCATCTCCATCACCACAACCACCATCATCAACATCATCACCATCATAATCATCATCACCATCACCATCACCATCACCGTCACCATCGCCATCACCAGCACCACCATCATCAGCACCACCATGGCCACCACCATCATCATCATCATCATCATCACCATCATCATCATCATCATCATCATCATCATCATCATCATCATCATCATCATCGTCATCATCAAAGTCACCCCCTGTCCTTCCTCCTCCTCCTCCTCCACCCCCTCCTCCTGCTTCCTCCCCCTTCTCCTTTTTGCTGCCCCCCCTCCTCCTTATCCTCCACCTCCCCTGCCCCATCCCCCTCCGCGTGACCATCCTTCTCCGAGTCCTGCCCCTCCCCATCCCCTCCCCTCCCCTCCCCTTATTATCCTCTTCCTCCTCTTCATCTTGCTCGTCCTGGCCATCCGCCATCTTCCACGGATCTTCGTCTTCCTCCTGCTCCTCTTCCTCGTCCGCCCGCCATCAAGAGTCATTCCCGCCCTCCTTCCTGTCGGGCTCCATCGGCCACCCGCCGGCTGGTGCAAACCCTCCTCCGACCCCTGCGCTTCGCGCATCGTGCCCGAACGCTGCCCGTAAAAACCTCGGAAACTTGATAGGTTCTACACCTCATCCTTCTCCTGCTCCCCCTCCTCCTCCTCCTCCTCCTCCTCCTCCTCCTCCTCCTTCTCTTCCTCTTTCTTTTCCTCCACGTCCATCCTCCTCCTCCTCATCAGCATCATCATCATCACCACCACCACCACCATCATCATCATCATCATCATCATCATCATCATCATCATCATCATCATCAGCATCATCATCATCATCAGCAGCATCATCAGCATCATCAGCATCATCAGCGTCATCAGCATCAGCATCAGCATCAGCATCAGCATCCCCATCAGCAGCATCATCATCATCATCATCATCATCATCATCATCATCATCAGCATCAGCATCATCATCATCATCATCATCATCATCATCATCATCATCATCATCATCATCATCATCATCATCATCATCATCATCATCATCATCATCATCATCATCTCTCCCGTCCTTACCCCTCCTCCCCCTCCTACTCCTCATCCTCCTCCTCGGGTCGGGGAGCAGCGGGCGAATGGAGGATGGCAAAAATCAGACGGCACTGACACCACTACTCTACTCCACGGGCCTCTGTCGGGACATCTTCTGACCGCTCTGGAAGGAGTTCCCAGCCGTGGCGGCGAGGGATCTCAGGAGCGAGCAGCGCTGCCGCTGTCCGCCCCTCCGCCGAAGAGGGGGGGCGCGGCGGAAGGGGCGGGCGCGGCAGAGCGAGGAAGGGGCCACCCGAACCCCAACGGCATGATGTCTGCCACAGCACCGACCCCCAGATTTTCAGGAGGGAAAAAACACACAGACACAATTAATCGTCGATTCCCCATAGAATATTGGCAAATATTGGAAAATATGGGGAAAGGTTGGAACAGATGGGAAAATATGGGGAATCTTTTTATTTGTGTGTATTTATGTGTGTGTGTGTCCTGGTGCCCCTTCAGATTTGGAGGCACAAAACGGGCACGTACGAAGAAAGTTGGTTCGATACCCAAACAACGAATGTTGCCCAACACCGACAGCGACCGCTGTTGAGCAGGCGCCCGTGTGTACCAAATAAACAACGGCCGCGGCGACGCCGACAACGAGCCTTGTTTCTCGAGCACGAACGATACCCTGAGCCCTACCTAGGCAAGGTGGCAGGGGGCGGGGAGGGCGACTCGTCTCGGCTGACGTCGGCTGACGTCGGCCGATTGAACATTGCAGGGCGCTGTCTTCTTCAGGCACGCGGTGGCACCAACGGCACGTGCGTTCGATTTGACGGAATGGCCGACTCCGCGTTGGTCGCTGTCGAACTGGGCCAGCTAATTCGGAGACGCACCTCCAGAGGCACATATCGAGGCGTTGGGGGTCAATGCGCGTTCGAGGGCACATGCGAACAATTCTGGCGCGATTGTCAATTCGCGACGCCCACCAGATCGCGAATTGCCCGATGCAGAGGCACGGTGATTCCGAACGCTAGGCGAAGTCGCTAGAGACCGCCCCCTTATTGGACGGACCTCCAAAACTCACCTCAGCTAGGTCGAGGTATGTCTCAGAAGCCAGAAAACAGACTCGTACATAGCCAAGGTGTCTGAGCACAACCCCAGCTAGGTCCGGCCCACGCCCGTACCTAGCCCAGGTGGCGAGCAGACATGCCGAAAACGCTCTTGAGCACATCGCAAGCCCCCCAGAGTCGTTCCCGACGCGGCCGCTGCAGCCCATTAGGGGGCGCGACATTGCAACGTCTCTCATGAGGGCGATCCCAGACGCATTGGTTTCCAGGATAGCGGGGACATGTCGCTTATTAATCGACTAGGACAGGCGCCACCACTCGCAGGCGGCTTTGAGCCGCGCGCGCACCACGAAACCCCCAGAAGCCACCATCAAAATCAACGCTTGTCGCGCAATCAGACAGCCGAGCATTGAACGCGCTGTTGCGTCTTGACGCGCAGATGCTACACTGGAGCGCGCGCGCGACAGGCTAATGGGGCACAATGGCAGGCGCCCAATCCCGCGGGCGGCCATCTCACCCTGACTGACCCCCCCCGCGAGGGCTCCCAGAGGCTAGTGATAGTAACACAGCGGTCCGACATGCTTTCACGACGCGAGCGGGGGAGCATGCTACGCATGGAATGATGTCCCTGGAAGAAATAATGGGTGTGGGATCCGTAAGTAGATCAATCTATCGAATTTTGAGCCGGCTATGATGCCTCTTCTGGTTCTTGGGTCGGCTATGATGCCTCGTTTGACCTCTGGGGCGGGGACGTCTTGCCGCGCGGGCGCCGCGGGCGCAGCAGGCCCCGGGTGGGTCCTCGGCGACGTGCGTGCTGCACACGGGGCAGGGCACCGTCGACGCGCCCGCCTCCAGCCGAGACTCTGCGTACCTGCGGGAAGAGCCCATCCGCCGCGCGGAGGCCCTGCGACGCAGCCGAGGAGGGTGGCAAGGGCGTGGTACGGCGGGCCCCAAAAATCTTCAAACCATTTTTCCACCCCTTCCAACTTGTCGGTTTCCGGCCAACGACAACGGAAACACAACAACAACAACAACAACAACAACAACAACAACAACAACAACAACAACAACAACAACCCAATACGGACACGTAACGGAAATTCAACACGGAACTGAACCGAAAACGGCGCGAACGTTACCCCCCGAACGTAAGCACAATTCACCCTAGAACGGGAAAACACGTCGATCTTGAAAACTGGCAAACAAAGGCCCCAGCGTCCTTAATATCATCACCCCGTAGCGTGAACAACAAAAACACGACGGACGATGTTTTCTGTCTGCGGCCTCTGAAGGCCCTTCCCGGGCCGCGGGGCCATCAAGAAACGGCTCGGGATGATAAGGCGGTCGCGGGGAATGGATCGAGACCTCAGGGGGTCGACGTTGTGAACAAAATAGAAGGCCCAGGTGTTTGGAGAAGAGGCTTGCAAGGCATGGCGTGGCGGAGGATGGGGGAGGAGGGGGAAGGGGGAGAGGAGGGGGAAGGGCATGTAGAGTGGGGTGGGGGCGCGGGGGGAAGGAAGGCGAGGCGAGGACGATGGCCACAGCGGCAGACTAATGTCTTCCCCTTGCTCATGGGCGTCACTGGCTTCGACTTGCGGGGGGGACGCCGCGGCAATTGCAACAATAGGGAAATTGAAACTTCCATGCGGACCTGGATACGCACTGCAAGCAGTACCAGCCGTGGCTGCACTTGAGCTGCACTGCGCTGTCCGGAGCAAGGTCCTCGCAGCAGATGCTGCAGGTCTCCTCGGACGGGGAGGGGGGCGCGTCGTGTGTCATACCCCCATCTCGCGATGCCCTCCATCTCCCACGCAGCCTTTCCCGAGGACTACCACGAACGGTCCCTCGAACTAAACCGTGTTCTCATAGTCCGATGGCATGGCGGACGACTGGATCAACAGTACATCCCGTGCAATTCGCGCACGGTTCTTAGAGCATTCCTTGGTGGGATTACAACAGGTCGAGACCCTGCGCCACTGCTTGACAACAGGGGGAGGGATGAGTAGGGCCATCCCCCGAACCTTGCAAACAGCAACATGCAACGAGCACCGGCCATCATCAGTGGACTAGAACCACGCGCGCGCTTCGCGCGCTTAGGTGCTAGTCGATTCCGAAGACGGTGTCTATTGACACCTTTTCCATGTGGTCTTCCGGGTTCCTCCCTATCACCAATGAGTGATTTTCGGGCGGATGCGGCGAAGTTCAAGGAAGGATTTGGCCTGTAGCGTACCAGCGACGACCGACGACGACGACGACGACGACGACGACGACGACGGACCACCGACGATCAGCATCATTGTCACCTGGCCCACGTGTGCGGGAGAGGCGTTTCCGGAGCGTCTTGCAGGCGTCATGGGGGCGTCCTCGGGCCTCGACGTTGGGTGGGCGGGTCGGGGGGTGCAGCCAGGGCCACGTGTTCCGAAGGGCTGTTCCGCAGCATGTAGGACGAAGGGCTTCTGGCGAGCTTGCGAGGGTCTATATAGGAGGCCTCCTACGAGCTCGGTGGGAGTTTCTCGGGAGCTTCTCGGGTCTTTCTGGAGCCCTTTTGGGAGCTTCTTGGGGCTTCGTGGAGGCCTCCTGGGAGTCTCTTGGGGCCTCCTGGGTGCCTCTTGGGGCCTCCTGTTCGGGCATTTGGAGGGCTCTCTGGAGCCTCCTGGAAATATCTTGGGCCAGCTTGGGAGCCTCTGGGGGGGTCCGGGGCCCCTTCTGAACCCTCTTGGAGCCCTCAAGGCCCCCCCGGCGCCTCATGCCAACCAGAGGTCTCAGTTCTGTGCCCATCCCGCCACCGTGTCTGGGTTGTGGGTTAGAGGCTTCTCGGATGTTCGCTGGGATGATATCGTGGGATGCCTCTCGGGGGGCCTTTTGGAAACAGGTTTGAAGCCTCCACGGGGGCGTTGTGGAGCTTGTCGGACCTCTCTTAGGCATCTTTGGGGCCTCCCTCTTTGGAGCCTCTTGGAGCCACTTACGGGCCTCTTGGGGCCTCCTGGGGGCCCTGGGGGGCGGGAAGCTCGAAAGGCGGTCCCACGCCGGCATCGCCGATGCATCGCCGATGCCGGCGTGGGAAAGCGCGGGCTCCACATGAAGCTGCATCGTCGATGCATCGAAGATGCGACGCGAGCCTCCGACCCCATCTAGGAGGCCTAGAGGTTCGCGCGTCGCGACAAAACTGCTCTCTCTTTTTTGTTCGGGCGGGGCCGATGGTGGGCAAGACAGTCGGGCCGCTGAAACTCGCCGGCCCAAGGGGCGGGAGGCGTGCTAAGCTCTGCGGTGGTAAATGACCCATACTCCCATACTCTAGTTCGCGCGCGCGTGGCGGCCTGTGAGGGTCGAACAGTACCCCGGGCCACTCCCTGCAAGTCTGGGCCAGAGATGCCGGAACTCTTGGGCGCGGGCCTGGAGGCCTCCAAAACCGTCCAGGAGCGGCCCACTGAGTCGACAAAGAGCTGGCAGGCCCTACGGTCAGAAGCCAACAGCGCCCCAGGGCGACCCAGTATGGCCTCACGATGGCCCTCGATGCCCCCAGCACGTCTCTCGAGGCTTCCAAGAGGAGTCCCCAAAGGCAAGAATCCTTGTTTTCTTAGGTATTTGGGCAGCCTTCCTCCCTTTTCGGTTTTCCGACGCTCCAAGAAGGCCCAAGAGGCCGCCAAGACCGCCTCAACACAGCCCAAGAAGCTCCGTAGATGGCCCCACGATGGCCCAAGGCGGTTCCAAGACTGCCCAAGAGGCGGCCACACGGGCCAAAGAACGCCACAAGGAGGTCCCAGAAGGGGCTGGAGACGCCCCCAAATCACTCCAAGCCGCCCAAGAGGGCCTCCAGACGGCCCAAGAGGCCGCCAAGACGGCACAAGAGGCTTTCAAGAGGCCTTCCAAGAGGTCCTCAGGCGACGAAAATCAATGATTTTCCAAAAGGTTTTCGAAGGTGTTCAGCCTTCTCGCCTTTTCGGCTTTCCCACCCTCCAAGATGGCCCAGAGGCCCGCTAAGACCGCCCCAAGACGGCCCGAGAGGCCCCCAAGAAGGCCCCCAGACGGTCCAAGACGGCACCAAAATGGCCCCCACATGCACCCAAGATCACCCAAGAGGGCCCCGAGACGGCCTCAAGAGGGGCCCAAGAGGGGGAACATGAACCACCAACTCGAGCCTTCCACCCCAAGAAGCCCCCAGAAGGTCCTAAGAGGCCCCGAAAGGAGCCCCGGAGGCCCCAGGAGGCCCCACGAGGCCCCCAAGAGGCTCCAAAAGAAGCTCCAAGGGGCCCCCAATCGCCCCCTAAGAGGCCACGAGCGCGCAGGCAAACGCCTGCGATGGCTCAAAACGGGCATGCGGAGTGAGCGGAGCGATTGAACCAGGGACAGAAAATCATGAACGAAGCCCCTCTTGGGCCCCCCAAAGCGCCAGCGTATCACCAGGAGGGCTAGAAGAACAACCACAACTAATGACCTGAGGAACACCGAGCCCCTTTCGTTCCCAAACTGCTCCTGACTGCAGCGTCTGTCGGGCGTTGGCAGAACTGGGTTTAGTGGAACCTGGTTTAGTGATGTGTACCGGGGGGCGCCCCCCCCCCGCCCCGTTCCGCTAACCGGAACTGTCGTCACCCGAAAAGCACCAGCTACGGCAGACCTGGTTTAGTGATTCTGGCCAATTCAGGGGCTCCCGGGCCCTACAGTCGGGGCCCTGAAGAAGGAACCCTTTTCGCTGGGGAGGGGCTCCGCGTTCCCTAGGTGTTTCGCAGCTGGCCTCAGGTGTTCCTTGTGCGTTCGATCGGAGATCGAAGTTTAACTGAGGGGCTCCTTGGGTCAAGGCCCCCACTGTACCACTAACCGGGCCCCCTTACCCGGGGTCCTGGCTACACCCGAGTCTGGACTGTATGCGAGGGGGATGCCTGCGATCCCCCTCGTGGCGCGCCGGCACGCGGTGGGCCAGAACCGGCGGCGCGGCGCGCTCCGAGCAAACGTCCCTGACCGGAGGAGGAGGAGGCGGAGGAGGAGGAGGAGGAGGAGGAGGAGGAGGGGGAGGAGGAGGAGGAGGGGGAGGAGGAGGGGGAGGAGGAGGGGGAGGAGGAGGAGGAGGAGGAGGAGGAGGAGGAGGAGGAGGAGGAGGAGGAGGTCTGGGGACGAAGAACGGTATCAAGCACACTGCTCCGCCGCCGGGGGCGCCTGCCCCCCGGCCGGGCGGCTGCAGAGGCTGCACCCATGCGGCATGCCCCTGCAAAACTGTCCAGCCGCCCAGGAGGGCGCAGGCGCCCCCAACGGCTGACACAACGTAAATGGGCGATTTCGGAAACCCGGAACCCGAAAACGTTTTCGTCTCCTGGGGGCACATCTTTCACTCCCGCCGACTCTCGCAGAGCTTCCCCCCGGCTTCCGCCGGCGGGGGCGGCCTCGTTTTGCCTCCGCCGACCCTCCCGCCGCCCTTCCGCCGAGGAAGAGCTGGCCACTCCCTCGCTGCTCGAAGGCCAGGCCCAAACTTGCCGCCGCCCTTCAACCGAGGAAGAGCTGGCCACTCCCTCGCTGCTCGAAGGCGAGGCCCAAACTTGCCGCCGCCCTTCCACCGAGGAAGAGCTGGCCGCTCCCTCGATGCTCGAAGGCACGGCCCAAACTTTGGAACGCCCCGTGTGTCACACCGCGCTCCGCCCACGAACGCAGGAGGGCGGAGCACCCGCCTGCCGCGGAGCGAGCGCCTCGCACGCCGAGGCAGGCCCAAGGGGCGCTGCCTCCGTCGAAGGGCGAGGGTCGGCTGCGCGCGAGGGCGGCCCCCGGGCAGGCGGATCTTGGCCAGGGACCCTCGCGACGCAGGGCGTTCCCCGTCGCAGCCCCTCCTGCTCCTCGCTCCTCCCCCCCCTCCCTCCCTCCCTCCTCCCTCCTCCTCCCTCCTCCCTCCTCCTTCCTCCTTCCTCCTTCCTCCTTCCTCCTTCCTCTCCTTTCCTCCCCTCCTCCTCCTCCTCCTCCTCCTCCCCTCCTCCTCCTCCTCCTCCTCCTCCTCCTCCTCCTCCTCCTCCTCCTCCTCCTCCTCCTCCTCCTCCTCCTCCTCCTCCTCCTCCCTCCCTCCCTCCTCTCCCTCCTCCTCCCTCCTCCCTCCCTCCTCCCTCCCTCCCTCCCTCCGCTCCCTCCCTCCCTCCCTCCCTCCCTCCCTCCCTCCCCTCCCTCCCTCCCTCCCTCCCTCCCTCCCTCCCTCCCTCCCTCCCTCCCTCCCCCCTCCCCCCTCCCTCCCTCCTCCCTCCCTCCCTCCTCCCTCCCCTCCCTCCCTCCTCCCTCCCTCCCTCCTCCCTCCTCCCTCCTCCCTCCCTCCCTCCCTCCCTCCCTCCTCCCCCTCCTCCTCCTCCTCTCTCCTCCTCCTCCCCTCCTCCTCCTCCTCCTCCTCCTCCTCCTCCTCCTCCTCCTCCTCTTACGACGACGACGACGACGACGACGACGACGACGACGACGACGACGACGACGACGAATGACCTGTGGTGCGCGGCTTCAGCGGAAGCGCGAGGGGGCCAGACCCGAGCGAGCAGGCCGCTGCTATCGCACCGCGCTCGGCGATCGGGGGGCCCCAGGGAGCCCGCAGGGTCACCCCACCGAAGGGCCACTCTTGCGCGCAATCGAAAGGGGACGTAAGACCTGGGTACAGGGGACTCGGAAATCCCCGACGAGGTCGTCAAAAAAATGACGAGGCCGAACCTGCATTTTGACGAGGCCTCCCGCTGCAGACATCCCACGAAACTCCTCCTCGTCAAACTCCGAGGCGCGGTCGTCAAAAAACGATGGCGAACCCGAGTCCTGGCAAACCCGGGTCTTACGCTCCCCCGATAATCGATGATCCCGGCAAAGCAACCTAACAGCGATGTGTAGAAGCATATCTGAAAGCATTCCCCTTAAGATTCAGATGAAAGTCCAGTTGTCGAATTCTGCTGTTCTCGCAGTCGTAGTCGCATTCGCGATGACAGTCGCAGCGGCAACGGCAGTCGCAGTCACAGCCTCAGCCTCAGCCTGCCTCAGCCTCAGCCTGCCTCAGCCTCAGCCTGCCTCAGCCTCAGCCTCAGCCTGCTTCAGCCTCAGCCTCAGTCTGCCTTCAGCCTCGGCCTCAGCCTCAGCCTGCCTCAGCCTCAGCCTGCATCAGCCTCAGCCTCAGCCTGCCTCAGCAGCCTGCTTCAGCCTCAGCCTCAGCCTGCCTCAGCCTCAGCCTCAGTCTGCTTCAGCCTCAGCCTCAGTCTGCCTTCAGCCTCGGCCTCAGCCTCAGCCTGCCTCAGCCTCAGCCTGCCTCGGCCGCAGCATCAGCCTGCCTCAGCATTCAAAATGTGGCCCAGGAATGAAGTTCTGGGAACTAGAAGAACACGAAGTGGCCTACAGTTGGCTCCGGGCATTCGAAATCATGCCCAGGAATGGAGTTCTGGGAACTTGAAGAGCACGAAGTGGCCTACAGTTGGCTCCGGGCATCCAAAATGTGGCCCGGGAATGGAGTTCTGGGAAATCGAAGAGCACGAAGTGGCCTACAGTTGGCTCCGGGCATCCAAAATGTGGCCCGGGAATGGAGTTCTGGGAAGTCGAAGAGCACGAAGTGGCCTACAGTTGGCTCCGGGCATCCAAAATGTGGCCCGGGAATGGAGTTCTAGCAGCGCCAAGAGCGATTTTGCGAGGATGTCCCAAGCGATTTGGGCTTCGGCGGCACCGCCCCGGGTCCCGCCCCGACCCCCCTGTGGAGTCATCTGCTGCTCTCTTTTGAGACCACTAGAAACCTATCAGCAAAAGCTGTTAGGTAAAAAGGAAGACTTGGCGGGACTGTATGAGGGGCGAGCCCAGCGAGCCACCAGTGCAGAGATTCCTCGGGGCCTATCGAAGGCTAGGCGGGCGAGGCCGTGGCATCTCTCTCATTCTCTCCATCCATATATATATATATATAATTGTTTATACTATTTATATAGTCAAACCTATTTATATGTGTAAATGTATAGAATACTGTCGTGTCTGGAAGACACATGCGCGTGTGCTGCGAGACAGAGAAAAGCCGTGAGCTGTGGAGGAGACGGGCAGGATAATCCTGGTGGTCGGAGTCCGCGTGCGTGGGTGGTGCTGTGGAGGTGTGTGTGTGTGTGATCGTTGATGAGTGTGCTTTGTTTCTGCTGTTGACCATGTCGTTCTCAAGCCTCGACCAGGTGATGGCGGCTTGAGCAGTTGGTGCAAGGTGTTATCTTTCGATTGTCCGTTTGTGCTGGCTGGTGCGGGAGGTGGCTGTAGGTCTGGTCGGCGCTGCCGAGGGATGGGGCTGATATCGTCTTCCCACCGCGTGGGGCTTACGAGGAAGGGACTTAGGGGAGGGTGGATTGCAGCATCGTTGACGCATCGTAGGTTCACTCTGGTCATCCTCCCCCAATTCATGCTCCTCCCTGTTCCTCCATCCTCATCCATCGTCTCCTCCTCCTCCTCCTCCTCCTCCTCCTCCTCCTCCTGCTCCTCCTCCTCCTGCTCCGTCCCCCTCCTCCTCCTCCTCCTCCTCCTCCTCCTCCTCCTCCTCCTCACCATCATCCTTCACCAGCAGCCGGCCGAAAACAGAGGCCCTGTTCCTGCGGACCCCTCCCGTTCAGGGGCGACCACGAAATAAAGGATTCGCTCCGACGCGGCCCTCGACGGGAGCCCGGCCGCGGCGACGAAGAGCCCGCCGGAGGCCCTCCCGCGACGACTTTTTCCAGCTGCGGCACTGGCGGCCGCGCAGCGCAGCGCGAGGGGCGCTGCACGGGCGAGCCGGTGCACGAGCGGGCTGGCGGGGGGAGGGGGGAGAGGAGCGCGGCACCCGGCCATCGCTCGGACGTCCATTTCCCGCGATTTTTGTCGGTTTCGTGCGTTTTTTTTTTTTTTTTTCGCCAAGTGATCAAGGATGCTCCTCGATGGTCCTCGCCGAAGGAAAAAAGCACACTGTCCGAGTGATGCCAAGGGCACGCGGAGAAGGCAAGGGGGGGGACGGCGGCGCACCCGTGCCCGTGCAGGTCTCCGCCTCGCCCCACGGACAGGAAAGCACGCGCAGACGCGAAGAGAAGCTTGCCAGGCATCCGATGCCGTGCTTCTGTTGACTGCGGGCCCCCCCCGGAGGTCCCGGGCCTCTCCTCTGGGCCCGATCCTCGTGCCGAAGATTTCTGTCGACGGTCCTGTGGCCCGGCGAGCGCACCTGGAGGCCGCATACAGCCACACAACGCTCCCGTCACGATTTCTGTGCTGCGATCTCGGGCATCGCAGCGTCCCCGTCGTTGTCCACATACAAACAGCGCAGCTGCTGAGGGCGCTGCTATCGAGAGCGTGGCTGTCGAGAGCGTTGCCATCGAGAGCGCGGGGGCCCCAGCACGTCAAGGCTCGAGCCCCAGACAACCGAAGATCCCCCGAAGAGCGGCGGCGCCGATGCCGTCCAGGGTAGGAGCAAGGAAAAGCGACACCACCATCATCACCAGCCAGGGACAGCCAGCGGGAGGAGCCAGGGAGGGTCCCCTTGGTGGTGTGGTCCCCCCCCTCGCTCGAGGCATCCCCAAGCCCCAACTCTGGGAGGCATCGTGAGCCTCCTCCCTGGAGATGTCCCCCCCACGGTGATGGTGCTGAGATTCTTGCTGGGGTTGCTACGGGGATAGGGAAGTCAGAAGTGAATCTTTTAAGGTGGGTCATACCTGGCCCTAGGCGGTGTAGGGTGTTTGGGTCAGTCCGCCAAGTGGGATCCGCCCATTTACACCAGGTCGATGCCACTTGTGCCACCTGGAACCCACGTAATACGCCAGGCCAAGCCATAGGTGACCCACAAAGCCTCCTACTCTCAGGAGGGAAAGAAACACACAGACACAATTAATCGTCGACTCCCAGGAAAATATGCAAAAATATGGGAAGTGGTGGGGAAGACAAAAACCCAGAAAATATGGGAAAATATGGGGGCTATTTTTATTTGTGTGTATTTATTTGTGTGTTCCAGTTCCCCTTCATACTCGAGACCCCCAACGGTCAGAAACTGCTGCTGAGCGCGTCGCCCCGGCGGCCCCGTCGACACGCTGTGCCTTGGAAGCGGGAGGGGAGGCGCGGCGGCGGAGCAGCTCGTTCTCTTTGAAAACGGGGGGAGGGGGGAATGGAGCAGAAGGAGGAGGAGGAGGAGGAGGAGGAGGAGGAGGAGGAGGAGGAGGAGGGGGAGGGGGAGGAGGAGGAGGAGAGGAAAAGGCGAGGACTAGGACAGTGGTCTGCCTCCGGAAGTCAGGTCTAAGGATGAGGATGAGGAGGGTGAGGAGACGGATGATGATGAGGGGGGAGGAAGCAGAGGAGGAGGAGGAGAGGAGGAGGAGGAGGAGGAGGAGAAAGAGCAGTGATGAGGGAGGGGGATAAGAGGAGGAGGTAAGCATGTCGATGAGGAGGAGGAGGAGGAGGAGAGAGGAGGAGGAGGAGGAGGAGGAGGAGGAGGGATGGGTGAGGCGCCCCCTGGGAGGAGGGAGGAAGGAGGGAGGAGGGAGGGAGGAGGAGGAGGAGGAGGAAAAGGCTGGCAGCAAACCCGTGCGTCCTGCGCGGCGTTACGTCGTACCGAAGGCGGGGGGCTGAGGCTGCGGGCGGCGAAGCACCTCGGCCGGGTAGGTGGGTGGGGGGATGGACTAACCTGTTCCTCTCTCCTTCGGTCCCTCCTCCTCCTCCTCCTCCTCCTCCTCCTCCTCCTCACTCCTCCTCCTCCTCCTCCCTCCTCCTCCCCCTCCTCCTCCTCCTCCACCTCCTCCTCCCCCTCCCTCCTCCTCCTCCTCCTCCTCCTCCCTCCTCCTCCACCTCCTCCTGCCCCCCCCCCTCCTCCTCCCTCCTCCACCTCCTCCTCCACCTCCTCCTCCCCCTCCTCTCCTCCTCCTCCTCCTCCTCCTCCTCCTCCTCCTCCTCTTCCTCCTCCTCTCCTCCTCCTCCTCCTCCTCCTCCTCCTCCTCCTCCTCCTCCTCCTCCTCCTCCTCCTCCTCCTCCTCCTCCTCCTCCTCCTCCCCGTAGCCATTTTGGCTCAAGATGTTGAGTTCCGCAGGGGAACAAGTGGATACCGCTAGTCCGCGGCAGTGCCAGGGCTGTTCAGCCCGACATCTTCTCTCGAGACCTGTACGGGGAGCTCCGCGCTGCCGTCCAGAGTCCCAGCTCAGCCCGCCGCCATGTCGGAACGCAGGCGCGGAGGCGGCAAGTCACCAGTGCCAAGGGTCTCCTTCTCGTCCGACTTCGTGGGATGCAAGAAGTGCGGGTACCGTTGGACCTACAAGACCAAGCAGTCCTGCTACAGCTGTGGGCAGGCCCTGCGACCATCGTACTCACCTGCTCCCAAGCCCCGTGGCGTCTGGGCTAGCGGCAGCGGAGGCTGGTGGCAGGACAACCACAAAGGCGCCGGCTGGTACAAGGAAGCTGAGGAGACCACGCAGAGGACCGAGCCGCTTGAGATCGGCGAGGTGGTGCAGACCCTCGGCGGGCACGCCCTCTCCGAGGCCCAGAGGCAGGCGCTCCAGCAGCTCGAGAGCGCCTTCGCCCCGCCGGCCCCTGCAGGGCGCCCCGCGCTCCTGGAGGAGGGCATCCAGCGGGCGGCCGCGGCAGAGAGGGCGGCCCGTCGGGAGCTGGAGAAGCGCGCCAAGCAGCTGGCCGACGCCAAGCTCTGGCTCGACGAATGCCAGGCTCGATCCGATGCGGCAGCTGACGCCCTGGTGGGGGCTGAGGTCAAGCTGGCGCAGGAGAAGAAGGCGTTTGCGTATCCAGGCAAGGACCCTCAGCCCGAGGGGACCAACAAGGGCGGCGGGGTTATCAACCTCTCAGCCTTGTTGGGCGAAGGAGAGGCCAGTTTTATCATCGAGGACGGCCCCCTCTTCGACCTGGAGGGGCTGGATGTCACATCCGAGCAGCGGCACCAGTTCAACAAGCTCAAGCAGACCTTCGAGGCGTCCGTGCAGCAGGCGGTCCGCACGCACTTCGGGCCAGGGGCTGACGTCCTCAAGTCCCAGCGCGAGCAGTTCGAAGAGATCAGGACGCCCCGCGAGACCTTCAAGAAGCGCAGACGGGAGCACCCCCCTGCGACCGCGGCGGCAACAGAGGCGTCGTCGCCCCAGACCCCCGAGGGGAGCCCGCCGCAGGCGCCTGCCCAGGCCAAGCCCGAGGGCCCGCCTGCGGAGGCGGCGGCGGCAGAGGCGCCAGCGGCCCAGAGCCCCGAGAGAGGCCTGCCGCAGGCGCCAGCCCAGGCCTCCCAGGAGGCCCAGCAGGCGGCCCAGCCCGCCGCGGAGCCGCAGGGTGCCCAGGGCGCTTCGCCCGGCGCTGCCAGCTCTGACGCTGGCCCTGACGCTGGTCGCGAAGCCGCTGGCAAGGAGTTGGCGGAGGCCTTGCAGCGCGCCAGGGCTCGCAGGGCGGAGGCAGCCGCCAAGCCAGTACCTCTGTAGCCCGCACGGGCTCGGCAGCCTGGCCTCCACGGCTGCAGGTACCAGTACACAATGCTCTACATGGTCGGGTTCATGGCATGAGTCCAGCACGTCGCAGGAGCCAGAACCTTTCAGAGGGTCTCCTCCTGACGCAGTCAGTACATCATTCTCTACATGGTCAAGTTCACCGAAGGCGAGCCCTCCGCGTCGTCGAGGCAAGGGCGGCACGCGCAACGTGGGGCTCGAGTTCATAGGCTTCAACTGTTCATCTTGGGCGCAGGCCATCGATGTCTTGGATGAAGCCGCTACAAGGAAGATCGTGGGCCCCATGCATATCACGTTCCTTCAGGAGCATAGGCTCACCGCGCCCATCGCCAAGGACATCGAGGCGGCCAGCTTCAACAGGCATTACACGGCAGCACTGGTTCCAGCTGTCAGCGGCCCAGGCGGACGGCCGACTAGTGGAGTTGGGTTCCTCGTGCCAAGGAATGTTGGCCTTACACATCTGGAAGGCATGAATACGTTCGATATCTCACCTCCTGGGTCGCCTGGCCGCGTGGCAGTGGGCTGGTGCTCTGCTGGACAGAAGGGTGGCCTCATGATTATCACGGCATACTTTTGGACACGGGAAGGTTGGACGATTCGAAATTTGTCAATTCTGGAGTCCATTGCAACGGTCATCAAGCAGTATGACATACCGTGGGTATTCCAAGCAGACTTCAACGAGACGGGGGAGTCTTTACTCAATACTGGTTGGTGCCAAGATGTGGGTGGAGTTGTGCGACTCCCTTCCACTACCACGTGTGCAGGAGTCGGCGGAGGCAGTATCATCGATTTCTTTGTGATCGACGCCCGCATCCAGCATGCTTTCGGAGACACGGTAGAAGTGTTAGACACTGCAGCCACACCTCACTCGCCCGTTCGCCTAGTCATGCAGTCCAGGATGCGAGCTAAAGGCGGCTGGAGGCTTGCCAAGCCCAGACCTTTCCCAATGGAGAGGCCGTGCGGACCAGTCCCGCAGCCTGCACAGTGGCCAGATTTCGATCATCAGGACGATTTAAATGGCACCCAGCTTGACCAGCTTTGGAAGCATATTTCACACTGTGCTGAAACAGAGCTGGTGAATCTCCTGGGCGTGGAAGAACCCCAATCCTACCTCGGTCGGGGCGATCCCCCTCGGTGGACCTGGGCCCCCCTCGCTGGTCCTCAATCGCGCGCACGCCCCAGGGGAACGCCTAGCTCCCGAGCTTGGCGGTGGGTCGCCGCACGAGCCAGTGACTTTATTTTCCTTACACAAGCTGCCCAGCAGGAAGGTACCTGGATGCATGCACGGGCGCGACGAGCAAAGCTCGAGCGCCGCGTCGAAGGAGGAAGGAGTCGGTTGGTTCACGACTTGGGGGAGGAGGCTGAGCACGTAATCGCCCAGTTTGAACGGCACCGCGCCTTTTGTCTCGAGGGCCCAGCGCTCAGGGAGCAGGCCCCCGAGATCATGGGTCTCCAGCGACGAGCTGTAGCCAATGCTCAGACCATCGAGCGGCAGCAGGCAGCCACACGGTCAATTGAAGACGGAATCGGCAGCTGGCTCTTCCTTCATCCACAGGATCAGCAAGTGGCGTGCCCCTCCTCCCCCCGTCACGGGTTACTCCGTCTCCAACCTCGAGCTTGCTGATCCTCAGGAAGCGGCCGACAGGGCTGCGCAAGAGTGGTTTGACGTTTGGGGCTCCCATGGGCAGGAAAGCACGGGTCCCTCAGATCGACCCTGGGAGGCCGCTCGTTTTGCCCATCCGTTGGTCCACCTGGACCGCCAGCTGTTTACCAAAATATGTTTGAGTTTTCCTGCCAGGACGGGAATAGGCTCCGACCACTGGCACCCACGCTGGTGGGCGTGGATTTCGGACGAAGGCAAAGACTGCCTGATTCAGCTAGTGATGTTTATATCTCGCACGGCACAGTTCCCTTCGCAGGTCAGGTACATCATATACTTCCTACTTTCGAAGGAGTCGGGAGGCACACGGCCGATTGGGCTCCTCCCCTCCCTCATGCGTGTAGTTGAACGAGCACACTCTGGCCTCTTTCACGACTGGGAGCGCTCTGCCAAGCGCAAATATGACTTCGGGGGCCCTGGAGGGGGCTCCGAAGAGGCAGCTTGGCACCAGATGGTGCACGATGAGGGGGCGCGTGAGGGGGAGGTGTCTGTGACGGGGGTCCTGGATTTGTCGCGTGCTTTTGAACATGTAACCATGAATGCTCTGTGGGTTGTAGCCCCTCTGTGCGGCTTCCCACAGCAGCTAGCCAAGCTTCTCATCAGCATCTACACGTCCACCAGGCTGGTTGCATTTCGAGGGGTCCTAGCCAATAAGGCGATGCAAACTTTTTCAGCCGTTGTGGCTGGCTCGATCGGTGGCACCAGGGCACTCAAGATGGTGGTGCTGCAGGTCACAGATGCAATACATCAAGCCTGGGGGGCGCGCCTCCAGATGAAATTATTCGTCGATGACCTCAGTATTCAAGTCCGAGGAGCGTTGCGATGTCTCAATGTTCTGCAGGCCGCTGTCACGTTCTATATCCGTGAGATTGAAGGTACCTGGCGCATCCCTGTCTCCCGTGGTGCCCGCGGCAAAGGGTACATCCTCGTCGCCTCGGCCTCGGCTCGAAATCACTGTGCTGCCTGGGCCAAAGACCTGGGTCTTGCCATCACCGACGCCAGCTCACAGCTGGGAGTGGACAGCGCTGGAGGCGCCGTAGTTCGCAAAAGAAAGAACATGCAGAAGAGATTTAAATACGCCTGTCACCGCAAGGCCAAATTAAAAGCCCTCTCAAAGCAAGGGGCCCGCCTCGCCAGGGTTGTCCGCCAAGGGGTGATCCCGTCCGTGACCTACGGGTCGAGCTGTTTGGGAGTCTCGCCTGTCTCTCTGGACAGAATGCGTGTCATGGTTTCGGGCAGCCTGGGCGGTAGTGCGATTGGTCGAGATAGAGTCCTCCGACTCTGGACGTATCAAGTTGATCCTGTGGTCGAGGGATCGCAGAGGCCGCTATGCATGTGGGCCACGCAGGCATGGAATGGAGTGCATCAGGTAGACATGGCCAGGGCCTGGCGCAGGGAAATGTCACGCGAAGCGGCCAGACGGAGTCGGACGCTAGATCGCCCCTGGAGCCAAGTTCGAGGGCCTGCCTCTGCTTGTAATCTTACGCTGCAGAGGCTGGGC